CTCACTTGGGGGATGGTGGGTCTTATCTTGCTCTTTGGAACACTGCACAAGCCTCGTCAAGGCCCACTCCTCCAACTCTCTCAAGGGATGGCTTTCCTGCTCTCTGTCTAGGGGTGGTGGGTTTCCTCCATTTTTGTAAAACTCAAGCCTATTCAGCTCACCCTGTAAGAAAGGGGGGGGGGGGGGGGTTGTTAGAAAGAGAGAAAAGGCAAAGAGTCACTGGTCGTTCCAACACTCACTTGGGGGATGGTGGGTCTGTCCTCTTTTTGTAGAGTCAAGCTGTTTCCCCTCACTCTCAAGAGAAAGCGAGCCACTGGTCCTCCAACACTCACTTGGGGGATGGTGGGTCTTATCTTGCTCTTTGGAACACTGCACAAGCCTCGTCAAGGCCCACTCCTCCAACTCTCACGCTGGGGGATGGCTTTCCTGCTCTCTGTCTATGGGTGGTGGGTTTCCTCCATTTTTGTCAAAGTCAAGCCGATTCAGCTCACCCTGTAAGAAGGAGAGAGAAGAAAGAGAAAGAGAGAAAAGGCAAAGAGTCACTGGTGGTTCCAACACTCACTTGGGGGATGGTGGGTCTGTCCTCTTTTTGTAGAGTCAAGCCGATTCCCCTCACTCTCAAGAGAGGCACTGTACAACCAATAGTCACTTGGGGGATGGTGGGTCTTATCTTGCTCTTTGGAACAGTGCACAAGACTCGTCGAGGCCCACTCCTCCAACTCTCACGCTGGGGGATGGCTTTCCTGCTCTCTGTCTATGGGTGGTGGGTTTCCTCCATTTTTGTAAAAGTCAAGCCGATTCAGCTCACCCTGTAAGAAGGGGGGGGGGGGTTAGAAAGAGAAAAGGCAAAGAGTCACTGGTGGTTCCAACACTCACTTGGGGGATGGTGGGTCTTTTCTTGCTCTTTGGAACACTGCACAAGCCTCGTCGAGGCCCACTGCTCCAACTCTCACTCGGCGCATGACTTTCCTGTTCTCTGTTTAGGAGTGGTGGGTTTCCTTCGTTTTTGTCAAAGTCAAGCCGATTCAGCTCACCCTGCAAGAAAGAGAGAGGAGGGGAAGGGAGGGAGAGACAGAGAGAGAGAGAGAGAGAGAGAGGCACAGAGGCCATGGTTGTCCAACACTCAATTGGGGGATGGTGGGTCTTTTGTTGCTGGGTGGAACACTGCACCATGCCACAGTCGTCCTACTCTCGCTGGGGGATGGCTTTCCTGCTCTCTGGCTAGAGGTGGTGGTTTTCCTTCGTTTTTGTCAGTCAAGCCGATTCAGCTCACCCTGCAAGAGAGAGAGAGAGAGAGAGAGAGAGAGAGAGAGAGAGAGAGAAAAGGCACAGAGACTATGGTCGTGCAACACTCAATTGGGGGATGGTGGGTCTTTTCTTAAAGGATTAGGGTTAGGCTTGGTAGGGTTTGAGGTTATGATTTGGGGTTTAGGGTTAGATTTGGGTTTAGGGTAGGGTTTGGGTTGGGGTTAGGTGTGGGGATAAATTTGGGTTTAGGGTTGGGGTAGGGTTTGGGTTGGGGTTAGGTGTGGGGTTAAAGTTGGGGGTAGGGTTTGGAGTTAGGTTGAGGGGTAAAGTTGGATTTAGGGTTGGGGGTAGGGTTTGGGTTGGGGTTAGGGGTGGAGTTAAAATTGGGTTTAGGGTTAGGTTGAGGTTTAGAGTTAGGGGTTTATGGTTGTATGGTTGGGTTAAGGTTAGGGCACACTTGTCCAACTCTCACTTGGGGGATGGTGGGTCTCTGGTAGAAACGTGATAGATCCTTTACCTCAAACACATATATGTAATTACACACACACACACACACACATATATATATATATATATATATATATATATATATATATATATATACACATATGGGGTGGCCGGGGGACGAGGTATTTTTATTTATTTTTTCAGTTTTTGTTTTTTGCCAAGTGAAGCCAATGAGATGACAAAGTCTCACTTGGGGGATGGTGGGTCTCTGGGATATTTCTGGTAGAAGCATGATATATCCTTTAACACACACACACACATATATATATATATATATATATATATATATATATATATATATATATATATATATATATATATATATATATATATATGTGTGTATATGTAGGTATGTATATAGTATTTTATCAGTTTTTGTTTTTTCGCAAAGTGAAGCCAATGGGATGACCGGGGGTCTGCGGTGGCAGGTAGTTTTTTTTTCCAGTTTTGTTTCTTCTACTACTTTTCTTGCAAAGTGAAGCCTATGGGATGGCCGGGGATATACTCTGTTTATAATTATTATTATTTTTTTTTTTTACAAAGTGAGGCTGGTGGGTTGGCTGTGGGTCAGCGGTTTTTTTTTTTTCTTTCTTTCTCGCAAAGTGAAGCCAATGGGATGACCGGGGTTCTGCGGTGACAAGTAGTTTTCTTTTTCAATTTTTTTTCTTCTACTACTTTTCTTGCAAAGTGAAGCCTATGGGATGGCCGGGGGTCTACTTTTTAACTCTAATTTTTTTTTTTTTTT